TTCCAGGTTACAATATGATTAAAATTTATTACTTGGTGATGCAATGAAGTTTTATGAATTGGTTAAAATGAACTTGAGTGATTTGAGTGTTGTACCCCAAAGCATCTCGGCTAAATTGACTAGTTCTTGTGTCGAAGATTATGAGGGATTGTGAGATGACGTTCATATAATTGTTTCTTTATGATTTTTTTTTTTTCAATATTTCTGGGAGAATGGATGCATATGTTTGGTTGAGAAATGTTATGAATGTAACTATCCTTTGTGGTTCAGGCTTTCCTGTCAGTACTGTAATTGAAAATCTTAGTTAATCGCGGATGTTCTGACTTGAATGCACCAAATTTTTGTCTCCTTTTTGGATTTCCATCCAAAAGTCAATGTCTTCTGCTAATAGTTCTGCTAATGGCCCAAATGAAGTTGAGATTCGGGGACAAAGCTTTGACTTCGCAAGCAGGTAACTTATTGATCAAATTTTTTCAAGGATGGTGAGATGAAGGCGTAACTACGGATGAAACATCTTCAAGTTAATATTCATCTTTGCCCACAGGCACAACCTAGAATCAACATCTGTATCAGAAGATGTGAAGGGAAAAGAGAATCTCGTCAGCTCTCAAGATCAAGAAACCATGGTATTGATATTTGTCCAGAAAATAGGTATTCGTATTGTTGTAAAGCATACTTGAAAATAAAATGCATTGTAGGAACTTTATTCACAGGCTAGAGCAAAAGAGAAGGAAATCCTGTATCTTAGAGAGCAAATTGCTCTTGCCAGTATACGAGTAAGGAATATGCTTTTGGGCTGTGGTATATGATATTTTTATTTTTTATGCATAACACGAATTGTGAGTTTGTATATTATTGCAGGAATCACAGATGTTGAATGAAAAGTATACGCTTGAAAGAAAATTCTCTGAATTACGGATGGTTAGAGTATATACACACTATTTTATTTACTCTCATTTAGTTTAGTAACCACCTGGTCATTGTGCTTTTCTTTTAATCGTTGTAAACATAAAATGATAAATGAAAAGTTTATCCTGCTTGTAGGCTCTAGACGAAAAGCAAAGTGAAGTGATAGCTTCTGCATCAAATGAGCTGGCACGAAGGAAAGGTGATCTTGAAGTAAATTTAAACTTGCTTAATGAATTAAAGGTAAATACTTGGTTGAACCCAGACAATATATCTGTTTTCTTCTTACGCTATTACTTAGTGTTGACTTCTAGGTTGAGCAAATATAATCCAGTATCAGCTACAACTTCATAGGACAGAAAAACTTGCATGGATTTAGTTTTCTACGACATGTATTATGAGAGTAGAATTTGTTGGGATCTCTTATAATTGGGAAAAAAAAGTTTCTAGGTTGCAACTAGTGAGCCTCATGTTTCTAATTTCATGCAATTATTATAGGAGAACCATTTTCCTTCAATAAACTTCTCCTATTCTTTCTATCCTATCTTTAGTTTTTAATGTTTTCTTGTGAACAATAAAATTGAGTTGTTTGTCCATATAATACATGCTAGCATTTCAATATTTAATTGTTTACTTCTTGTTCTTACGATTGTTGCTCCTATGGAATATTCATATTTAGCCTTTGCATGGGACAGGTTGCAGAAGATGAGAGACACATATTCACGTCATCCATGCTAGGTATATTGGCCGAATTTGGTGCTTTGCCTCATGTTACCAATGCATCTGCATTAACCAACAGCATCAAGGTATGAAAGCCTTTTATCACGAACGATGTTTTAATTGTATTCTTGTGCATATGATAGAACTATATCTCATATGTTCATGGCCTTGTTCAGTTTTTTTCATGGTGTTAATTGTTATTTTCTGAATTTTCAGTAGGTGATTATTGATATGCATAGAACTAATTAAAATGTGTGGGCATTGTTTCTAGAAATCTACAGGATTTATAATAATTTGTCGCGTTCATTGTTTTGAAAGAGTCATTTTCAAAATGTATGAATCTAATGTTAAGCGACTTCACAGTTGTGAGATCGATATTTTATGTGTGTTAAACACTTGCTTTAAATAAATTTGCTAGATATGTAGTTGGTAAACAAACATATATTGTTAACTGGTAGGTCAGTGTGAGGCCCCACCACACTAATGATTTACGTGGTAGTAAAAGTATATTGATTAAAGTTTTTGGATAATTGTGGGTCCGTATAAGTGAGAGAAAGGCAGGTTGACGTTTTCCCAAAACGTAGATCTGAAAATGAGGAGAATAGGATTCTGCAAGTGTTTAACTTGGTAAATGAGATAATGTTCAAACGAAAATGCATTAAACGTGAACTTGAAAAAACAGGTGTAGAAAATCCCACTGAGATGAAAAACAATCGAAACCGAATCTTTTAAAGTTTGCAAGATTTGGGTAAGGATACAAGTTTTTGTAAACAGTTTTCTATGTGATTGTCGCAAGACACTTTATGTTACACAAGCACCAAGGTAATCCTGTATCTAGTTACATATTTATGCATTTGGTGCTTTATGTAGAAACATGGAGATTTATTCATAAATATTATGCAGTCTCTTTAAATTTGTACAAAGAACTGATAAGTCTCTCTTTCTCTCTCTTATGTTGTTCTTCATATGAATCGTATGCATTAAGAAATATAATTTATGCTTTTCAAATCTTTTGCAGCACTTGCATGATCAACTGCAGTTGAAGATAAGGACTTCACATGTAAGCTTGTCTCATTTAGTACTGACACAGGGCATCTTATCATTAGTCAGTTACTTCATTTTTGGTTCCTTTCAATGCTCCCCTTCATGTTTCTATTTTATCTGCTTATTAACTATATATCATGAGAAACTTCTGTATGTTATCATGCCCTCTGTAGTCTGAACATTCATACGTTTAGCGGAATGTAGACTGCTGCTTCCAACTTAATAAATATTATGTATTCCAGATAAGCTAATCAGCAAATATCGATCTGTGATACTTCATAAGGGTATGTGTGCAGCTTGTCAAAAAGGGGAAAAAAATAATAATAATAAATTAAATGGGATGCGGGTAGCACACTAGTTTGCACTTCTCTCTGAATATAAAAGTTGTACCGCACATGCAAAGATGAAACTAGGAAATGAACGCCTCACTAAGAATATGGTTCGGGTGGCAGTTTGCTCAGCCTTTCTTAAAACTGTTATTTATGAACCTGTATAGTTTAGAGCTTCTTTAGGAAATTTGTAGTAAGGTTCATCCAATGTCTGATTAGTAGTTGAATAATCATAAATCCTAGTCCACAGTTCTTATTTATTCTTTTGCTATCCTTTTGTTGTAATTCTTATTTATCCATTTTTTTAATACATTTATTTATATCTTTTGCCTATCCTCAGTCCAGGTATGTAGAATGAATACTATTGATTAGCACATTTTCATTAAAGCTGATAAAGAATCACTTATATCTAGGCTAGACTTGCAGAGCTAAATTCGATGATTGGATATAATTCCAGAAATGGTTTGGGTGATAAAGAAATTCCAGGTTTGGCTCCCAGTGGTGGCCAATTTCCTAGCACCTCTATGGTAATTGCTGTAACTTCATTGTCTCCTATTTCAACCTTTGTTCAAACCTGAAGGGTCATGATGTCAATATGTCTACATTTATTTAGTGAAAGCATTGGTTTACTAGTAATTTTTTAATGGGATCCGAATTTTTGATATGTACTTCAGCACAATATCACTTTACTGATTGTTGTATTTAGCATTCTATTTTTAGAAATATTATCATGACCTTATAATATTGGTTTTGCAGGGTGTGCGTGGACTTTCTCACTATAGCCAATACAATGATGGGAAAATTATGGATCCAGCTCATGACCCTTCAAGATACGTGCAAGAGAATGATTCTAAACAAGTCAAAAGTTTGACACGGAGTTCTGAGATGCGCCAGTTACCGAATAACGAGACTCTTTTAAGGACCTTACCTAACATTGATAGGTTGGCATGAAATTTTTTTATTACTTACCATTTTTTAGTTTTGTTCTTCACGGTTTGTTGTTTTATCACTTCTTTGTATTGACATGGTGGTTTTATAACAACCTGAATAGTATAACATCTTTCTGTGATGTGTAACTTAGTGATTGCTGGAGTTCTGTGTAACCAAGTCCAGAAAATAGTCAAATAAACATACTTGTGAAGGCAGCTCAGTATTTTAGATCAGAAATAAGAGACTTGAGTTCCCAATAATTTATTAGTGCTGCATCTTTGGATTCACTTTGTCATTTAAACGTGAGTTTGTTAATTTATAAAATATATGGAGGCTTGTGAAATGTGTTAATGATTTAAATTGTTTGAATGAGAGACTAAAAGAGCCCCCATGTACTAAGCGTCAATGAATGTAGTAACTGAATAATATTTAGTATCATTCGTTTAACGTGGTGCACCGATTATTTTTTTTATAAAACCTGACATTGCATTGCTTGAATGTGGTCACTGATGTGCTTTATCAATTTAGCAGGTGCAAAGGTGGATTTATAGCTTAACGCCACCTAAAGTTCTATTCAGCAGATTAAATATTTGCTATGGTAGAAAACTTATAAGATTTGAAATGATCATAACCATTGGTTTCCTCCGTCAAAAGTTAAATTTATATTCTTGTCCCACGTAATTAGCAACTTTTGTACTATTTTAGCAACATATGCTTTTCTTATATTGTTTCGTGTGCTATCCTTACTATATCACATCTCTTTTCATGTTTGTTTTGATAATCCTTCAAATGAACCTGCCTTTCTCCACGCGTGTTACTCTAGTATTTGGATGGAAATGAATTTAATGATCTTTCAGCTTCTATTTGCATTGATACCAATTTGTGATTCCTTAACAACATCTACCTCTCTATCTGTAGATCACTTCTTACAAAAGCAGATGTTTTATGAAACCCTTCCAAAATCATGGTGTATATCTTTTGTTTATAAGTATCTAATGCAATATCCATGCCTTTTTAATCAAAAAGGTTTTCACTAGCTCGAGTCATTTGAGGTCTTGTCTATATTTTTCTTAATATTTCAAATCATCCGCTGAAGGTGAAAATATTACGACACAAACTGAAAATTAATACACACATGACAAGGGTAAATGCTAGATTGACATTAGCTTAACATCTAAAGGGTTCCCATATTGATTGCGGTAGCTTATAACACCACTCTCTTTTAGGAAAATGCTTGATTATCATAAATTTAACATTTAACAAGTCATCCCTGAATGTAGCTATGTATAGCTTTTTTCTGTAATATCAACAGATAATAATGCTGTTGCTAAGAAGCTAGGACAGAATCTGAATCATTATTACGCCGGATTCCTAGATAACGACATCTTTGCACGTTCTTGTCAGCTAATATAATGATTATACGAGCTTGTTTTTTTGTTAGTCTTAGTTTTAATTTCAGTATCAAGTATATTTATTCGTGCTGACATATTAAACTTACAGATCTGCTGCAAGCCGTATTATGGACAATATGCTCGAAAGAAATGGTTACCCGTCAGTATCTGAGCAAAGAAGTTACGATCAGTTTTCCCATCTTCCAATGCATGAAAATGCTGGTTCTTTTGGTGCTGAAGGTAATATGTTGTCGTATCTTGTAACAGTAAAATGCCTTTCTGGTGTGACGTNTTTAGCTATTTACTCTTTTTATTTGCAATTTGCCTTTGTATATTTTAGTGGGTTCGGCATAATCCAGATGGGACAAGGCAGTATATTGAAGGTGAGTGAAAAAATTGCTTATAGCTTTCAGCCATGGATCTTCATTGACAAATCTTCTTTGTCTTTGGTTTATTATATCAAACATAATACTTGACTTGGTAATATTAGTGTTCTTTTAGTAACGTACCTTATGTTGTTTCTTAACCTTTTGTTACAGGAGCTACTAATCCAGAATACATAGTGACAGCTGATGATGTGGATAAACTTATTGCTGTAGAGTGCATACCAATGGATGAACAAGGACGGCAGGTAGTTATTTCCGCATCCTCTGTGACTTTTAATGCTTTATTATCAGAGGCCCTCAATGTATATTACCTTTTGGTTATTATCTTCAAATTTCTTTGAAACAAATATCTTATAGTTACTACTTGAGGAAAGATATCAATCAACTTAGGTTACAAAATATTTTGTTTATAACACAATTATTATGTTATCTCTGTTTTGCAACTTGGCAAAATGATGCAATTTTCAATATATCTGAAATACATACTTTTTTCTTTTTTCTTATTTTGCTGATTTGCACACAAAAATGAAAATTTTCAGGGTGATATTGTCAGAATCTTTGCAAATGATCAGCACAAGATTACTTGCGGTGAGTGGATTTAAAATAAACAGGATATTCTCCTTTCTGTTTGAATTTTAAAGTGAAAAATCTTAGTTATCGCATAATTATGTATTATAAGTTCTCTTCTGCAGTTTTATCTACCATGTTTGGAAGTATCCTATTTGATGATTTTTTTTCAAGCATATCTGGCATTCAGCTTAAATGAGTTTCTAGTTTCTCTGTTTCATGACCTGTTGAGATTAATAAATTATAAAACTTATTTAATAGTCTTATCACGATAATTTTTAACTGCGGCAATATTTTAAGGCTTTCACTATGAAACCATGTGACAGTCTCATGTTCTTATTTAAGTAACACTAAAATATACGTTTCTATAGCATAGGCTTTTTTATTTCACACGATACGAAGTTATTTATGGGACATTTTCATGCACATAAATAATACGTCTCTCCAAATAGTCTTGGCCAGTCTGCTTGTATTTTATTTGTTTAAGTTGGAATTATTCTGTTTGTGTTTGTTTTCTGACGAGTGCCATGAGAAATGCAGACGACGAGATGCAAGAGGAGATTGATACTCATATCTCTAAAGGACAGGCAGCATTTAGTGTTCTAATTCTTGTATGTACTGATTCTTACTACCTATAAAAATTTTCATGGGTTCTGTTCTTGAACTTCAACTAAATTTCTTGTTGTTTTGTGTGTTTTCTGAAGGTAGTACAAACGATTACCTAAATATGCCTCTTGAGATTTTTTTTCTTGTGAGAGAGTACAACAGCTGCTTTACTTTTTCAGAACTTACAACGATAGTCATAATATAACTGAAGATTTTTATTTCTCTTTTCTGCACTAAAGCTTCGTAACATGAGAAGTAATATATTCACTGATCAATTTTCCATGATAAAATGTTTTTCTGTCCATGGAACTTTTTAATAAAGCTGTATCATATTGACACTTACTGGTCACTCATGGACTTTGGGCATTTGTCTGTTTAGTGCTTGTGGGCACGTTTTTCTGATTATAGAATTTCATTTAATATCTGACAGTTAGAGAACTCCGAGAACTGGGAGCCAGCAAGTCTGCTCTTGAGAAGGTCAGGCTTTCAGGTTAAGGATGAGAGGAAACAGGATGTTATAATTACCGAGAAATACTCTAAAGACTTAACGGTATATGCTCTTATCTTTATCTGCTTTTGAGAAAATAAATCCTTTAACTCACTGTTACAGGGTTTATTGCCTGGACATTATGATTCCATATGAGATGCTATTTGTGCGATGGTAAAAGTTCCTCCATTTAAGGGGGCTATGCAAGCTATGCAATTAATGTCATACTATAGAAGATTGGACATTTTTCCTAACATCTTTGTTTGACTTTTCCTTTCCAGATCAAAATTCCGAGTGGCTTCTCAACACAGTTTGTGCTGACATGTTCAAATGGATCATCATATCCCTTCAGCACAAATAATGACATTAGGTAAATACCCTCTAGCTTCATAAATATATGCATCTTTCTTGGTTTTTTTTTTTTTGTTTGTTTGTTTGTTTGTTTGTTGTGTGTGTTCATCATTTATACTGAAATGAGCTGCTGCCCTTTAATCGTGTGAAGAAATCTTACCACTTCACCACAGTTTATGCTTAGACGATCAATCATCTACTTATAATTTTTGGAAAAGTTTGTTTCATAAGCTTTATGTTTAACATTAAAGCAGTAAAGATATCTCAACTCATAGTTGAAGTAATTTCTGTTGGTTCCTTTTCATACTGACTTGAGGAAACACCTTTTACAAACATTTGTTAATAACAGAGTTTTTATGATGCCTAAATTCTAAAGTGATGCTTCTTTGTGTGCTCTGTAGAATGAGAGATACACTTGTGCTGACAATAAGAATCTTCCAGAGCAAGGTACACTTTCTAGCTACATTGTCATGCTCTTCAATAGATTTTTGTGGAATTTTCCTCCTTTTTTTTAAAAAAAATAAAAAATTAGTGCTCCATATAAATAAATTTGGATGTTCAGTCAGTCTATATTTTCAAGAATCCACTTCTCTTTATGCATGTTGTCCTAAAACATAAATATCAATTGATTTTTATGTTTTCAGAAGAAATCGGAAACAGTATTATAGTTCAATATGTTATGCAAAGAAAACAAAATTTACTGATGCATGCCCTTGGTTTTTCCATATGTCATAAGCTTTATTATGTCTGAGTAACGCCGTTTAATGGGTTTCCAATTTATAACATTTATAACAGGCTTTGGATGAAAAGAGGAAAGGCAAAGCGTAATCTGTATTACTTGATCGTCTTGTAGATGGTGTTTATAGCCCTTTCTTCATTCTTTATTGCAGTATGAATGACTACAGTTTTGCTATATAGTGAGTTAAGGACTGGACTTAAAATATATAGTGACATGCATTTTTTTTGAATTCCTGGAGTTCACGTGTCCTTCCTTTCTGTTCTCTGTTGTAACATGTAATTGTACAGTTCATTAATTTTGATGATGTATTGGGGATTTGAAAATTTTGAATGCAGTATATGGATGCTTGTTTTATTCCAAATCGCAATATTTGATATTNTAAAAAAAAAAAAAAAAAATTATGTGGTTATTGAGTTATCTGGGTGTTAACTTGATTCCGGCTAACGGAAGTTGTGATACATAAAATTTAGAGGAAATTACATTGTCTGCTACTCAATAACTTTTTTATTACACATTTACAACTCTTATATATTCTTTTGCAAAATAACAAAAACTGTCCTATTTATTTGCAAAATTACTATAATGTTAGTTTAATCATAATTATGTCTATTTATGGGAATAGTGTGGTTATTGGGGAGTTTATTGTATGACTAAAACTGATTTATATCATTAAGGAAAGAACTCCCGACGTGCCTCCTTCACTTCTGTAACTGCAAACAACAACTATCAGCTTCCTATTAACTTCTTCGATGTGTCAATGGATTGCAGTCCTTCAAACCAATCTAAAAAATCTTTTCACTATTCAATTGAAAATATCAAAAAATACATCTAACATACAAGATGAGCTAATGGATAAACGAAAATGAGGCAGAATCATTGATGATGCACTTTGTGTGTGTGCGCGTGTGTTCAAGTGAGAGAGATGAAAGAAGCTGCAGCTGTACTGTACCTAATAGCTGCAGAGCTGCACTTGATATTAAAAAAAAAATTGTCCCAAAAACAGTTTATGTTTTATTTGATTTTTATTTGTCATTTATTAATAGTTTATGTTCCAATTGAACCTGTTTCAATATTTTATTTGACGTTTATTCATAATTTATGTTTTGTATATTAACATATTTTTTGTTGATGAGAAAACTGATATGAAACGATAAAGGAACATTTAGTATATGTTCAGTATATGTTGTGTATATATTGAACTCATAACCTTTATATTCATAGTTTATGTTTGGTATATTAAAAGATTTTTTTGTTGACAACGAAATTGAAAAAAGAGCAATTGTTGTTTTTTGATTGAGTATCGTTTGTAGTGTTTTGGATATTTCTCATAAGTATATTAGTGGTATTTGTTTTGTTTTTATTTATGTTATAATTATTGAGTAATTTTTGTGAATAGATGTTTGGTTTTTCTGTTTACATGTTTAGTCATAGTTTATATTTTGTCTATTATTGGTATATTAGAAGATTTTTTTGTTGACAACGAAACTGACAAATGATCAATTTATTATTTTTTTGGTTGATTATTGTTTATGTTGTTTTGGATATTTCTCATATATATATATATATATTAATGGTTTTTATTTCGTTTTTATTTGTGTTATGTTTACTGAAAAATAAACGGGATATAATTTTATAGTAAAAAAATTGGTTTATAAATTTACTGGAGTGATAATTAAATTTAAATCGAATTGAATATAGAGAAGAGAGTAGTTTATAAATTTATATGTAGAGATAGTTGAATTTAAATCAAACTGGATATAGAGAAGAGAGATTAGAGAATAAAAAAATCGTGGTGGAGAGAGTTTTTAGGATATATTTTCTTACCATAACAATACATTTTTTATTTTTTCTCATTCTTCAAAACGCATATGATGCTTAAATTAAGGGGAGAGGGTTAAGTTTATTTTTGAAACTGATATACAATGCTTAAATTAAGGGGAGAGAGAGTGTTTATTTTGGAAACAGGTATGATATAAAATTAATTCACCGTAAATTAGTGTATAAACAATTAAAATACCATCAATCGTAAAGTTGCAATTTCTTGCAAATAGAGTCGGATGTGTGTAAATTCCCCTAAAATTTATGAAATTGTAGGTTAAGACCTACTACAATAATTTTTTTTGGGTTGTAAAGTCCAGCAAAGCATATAATACTTGGTGCTGAAGATTATACGATCCAAATAAATATTTGGAGTGACCCTCATAATTTATGGAAAAATCACGGGGTACGTAAAGAAAAATAAAACTAGGAGGGATCTTTGGTAATTTAGAAAACCACAGGGTTTTTGTTTGTAAATAACTCAAATATCGGGTTTGTCTTTTTAATTGGCTTAACTTATATTAAGTGGCCAATTAATGGTCGGCCACGTATGTTGCTTTCACTTCACTGCTAGACTTGAGATCACTGGGGCCTCTGATTCGAATTGTTTGGTCCATGGAAAAGAAAGCCTCTTAAAGTAAAGACAACACGAAACTTAGATGAGAGTAAATATAGAGTTTGAACACCTATACTATGACGACACTTCAAGTCCAGTGGGTATTTTATCGTAAAGCATTAGATTCTTGATTTAAGTATGTATCTAAACCAATAATAAAATAAAAAAAAAAAAGAGGAATTTCTTGGAAAAATACAAAGACATCTATCCGACTTTCCTACTTTGAAAACTTTATTAGTTTCCTTCCCTTCAAAGCTCCCTTACCCTTACAAACCTACGAGTGCTAATAAACCTCAAGCTATGCATAGATTTTTTGCAAATCTAAGCGGCAAAACTTGAAAAATTTGTTTTTTTTTTTGAATTTATATTTTTTCCAGTGATGGGGTCTGTCGGAAATCAAAATCAAAATCCCTGGTCGCCATACGAGAACTACAGAGACTGCTCCTTGGGGATTTGCAGCATATACTGCCCCCAATTTTGCTACCTCATCTTCCCCCCTCCTCCGCCGCCGGACGCCGGCCCGGAAAGCCCCCTCTCGCCGCTCGTCATCGCCGTCATAGGCGCCGTCGCGAGCGCTTTCCTCCTCGTCTCCTACTACACCATCGTCACCCGCTACTGCCGCCGGCGGACCAGCCCCGACCCGAATCCCGAGATCCAGAACGGTCCGGCCCGAGACGAGTGCCGGGCCGGGCCGGACGGGCTGGACGGATCCCTAATCGAGAAAATCACCGTGTGCAGGTACAGAAAGGGGGATGGTTTAATCGAGGGCACCGAGTGCGCCGTCTGCCTCAGTGAGTTCGAGGAGAACGAGTCGTTGAGGCTTTTGCCGAAGTGTAGCCACGCTTTCCACCTACCCTGTATTGACACGTGGCTGAAATCGCATTCTAATTGCCCTTTGTGCCGTGCCAACGTGGCGGCCTCGGGTCAGGCGGCCGTTGAAGTGAATGCCTGTGAGGTTCGGAGGCGGGAGGACTTAGTTCTGGTCGTGGAGAATCGGGACAGTGATTTTCGCGAGAGGGTTGTTGCGATTAACGGTGGTGTTGTTGATGGTGGAAATTTTGGGGATCCACAAAAGCGGCTTTTGGTTTCGGATATTTTGAGATTTGAAGAGATTGAGGAGTGTGTGAGAGTGGAGATTGATGAGCTTTGGAACGGGGCTGGCTCGTCTAGTGGGGATAGGGGCAGAGTTGGAAATTTGCTCAGAAGCCCGGTTGAGGTGAGAAGAGAGAGAGTTCATGGACAAAGATCATGATAAAGGCAAGAACTCCGTTGTTCAAAATTGAAATAATATATATATTATATACTATAGTTTGGTGAAGACATCTTTTT